CAAAAATCATCTAAAGCCATCTCTCTCCAACAAGGAAGAAGTTGCCTGACAGAAGTCACAGGCTAGCCACTTTGGTCATGAGCCAAATCAAACTAGCAAAGGGGGGGGGAAGCCAGCCTGTTGGAAGAAGAGAATCCCCAACCAATGCCCTCTGTTAACCATAGAGAATCCTGAATAGAATTGATTCAGCATATGAATGGCAGACATATTAATCCCCTTATTTAAAAGGTTTCTGCTATTCATTATGTCAGAACTCTGTTTCACTGGGCTTTGTCATGTGACAATATGGTATGCTTCAATGCCTCCCCTATTGAAGCCCTTTCTGAAAGCTGATTATTCAGTGCAAAATACTGGCTTTGGATGCCACAGTTTGGCGTCTGTACTGCATCTTCCCACTCCATTATGCTAAGAGCTGGTTTTCAAACCAGGCACCACGCTGATTTTTAAAGTAGCAATTAATAGCACTGCCAAAATGCATGAGGCAAAGTTTTGATGGGATTTCTGATGGTATAACGGCAAAGCTGCTCCAGTTAATATGGTGGCAATTGATTTGGAAGTACACATGCATTACTGAAAGCTGGATTCAAACCTCAAGATGTGAATGCTCTCCTCTGGCTCCGTACAGTGAGTAACAGTTCAGCCCTGGCTTGCAGCATCCAGCAGTTTAAGGACAGACAAACCCTACACACACACACACACCCCTTTTGTTGCTTTTGAAACATTCCTTGTTTATTAAGGCTTTCTGCACATTCCTGTGTCCACTGTGTCACTCTGTCCCTGCCTCACAACTTCTTCAGCCACTAGACCCAATATTAATTCTGAAGGACGCAACAAAGCAGACCACGATCTCCCTAACTGCATTCAGGCCAGGGCCACACAGCGCCATGAAAATGAGCACAATCAGAAGTAATTTCCTTTCTGTCCCTCCCTCCCACTGACAGAACAGCGGGAGCTAGCAAGACCCTACTAGCAGGATGGACAGGCAGAGCCAGAGACTGTAGTCTAGGGCCACATCCATTCAGTTATCTTTAAGCTAAGGAAAGGGGGAGGAGGGGAGCAGCGAAGCAAGCAAATTTACTCTGTGCCCTTATTAACTTGAAAGGGCAGTCCTCTGAATATACACATCACATTCTTTTATTCCCCCCACCCCCTTCAAACATTTCTGTGAAATCCTGAAAGAACGTGTCAGTATTTTTCTTGGAACAATTCTAAAAATGTCTTAACTACTATGATAATCATATTAATCAGCACCGAAATAATAAATGGTGTGATTTGAAAAGGGGTGTGCCTAGTTCTCTCTCAAGACTTCATGTTTTTATTCGCTTGAATTCACAGTTACAGGGAATTCACAGTTAGCCACAGCCATGCATGATATTCTCAAACCATGTGTTTACCCCCAAATGGACAGAATTCAGGACTTTCCTTTTTTAAAAAAAATAAAAAGGCGTGGGGATCTGATGTGGGCCCAAAACTTTTAACTTCAGGTCAGGACTGGCACACCACAAAAACCAATTGTATTCCATCAAAACTTCAACCTGAATCATGTAGTGCACACTAAATTCCACTGTGAACTATGTGGGAGTGCCCAGTTCTATATTTCTGGGCAAAGCTAAGGCAGTGTGAGACCTGAGCAGCATCTTGATAGAAGCCACAAAGGTCAACCAGAGGTCAGCTTTCTGACAGAAAAGTGGAACACATGGACAATAGCAGAAAGGAAATATGACTGACAGGTTTCACAAGACTGACAGTAACAGGCCAGCTATGTATTCTGCCATGTGAACTATGGGGGAAATGACCAAAGTGTGCTAACTAAGCTTGTAATATGCCAGCCATATTGGCTGATGGACCTGTGCTTCAACAGCCTAATCTGCCATGTGATTTGAAAACTATTCCTAAATGGCTCTCCTGTTTTTATTGCAAGGGCCACTTTGCCAGTTCCTTTCAAGAGAAGGACGCCAAGAAGCTTTTACAACTAGAGTGAATTTATGGGTCCATTATGCTGCATCCAAGTCCTAAAAGAAATAACATGGCACGGTATCTGTTCAGAAAATAGATCTGTAATCCTTGGACCACTTCCACTGGAATACCTCCTACTGCTAGTTAATATGTGGTTTAACATTCTGGGGGTAGTTTTTAAAGACTGGAGTTCCAATGGAGGTCCAGGTCACCAAGGCTGTGAGATCGGCCTTTTACCACCTTCTGCTGGTCAGGCAGTTGGTTCCTTCTCTCTCCTCCTGGGACTTAGGTAAAGTGATCCACACAATGGTCACTTCCAGGTTGGATTACTGTAACACACTCTATGCGGGGCTGCCCTTGAACCTTACCCAGAAACTGCAGTTAGTGCAAAATGTGGTGACACACCTGCTGACTGCGATGTCTGTGTGGGCGGGCATTCAGCCAGTGCTATGCCAATTGCACTGACTGCCAATCGAGTACCTGATCTGGTTCAAAGTTATGGTAAAGTAAAGGTAAAGGTTCCCTTGCTCGAAAGCCAGTCAAATCCGACTCTAGGGTTGCGGTGCTCATCTCCGTTTCAAAGCCGAAGAGCCAGCGCTGTCCGAAGACGTTTCCGTGGTCATGTGGCCGGCATGACTAAACACCAAGGCGCACGGAACGCTGTTACCTTCCCACCGAAGTGGTACCTATTGATCTACTCGCAATTTCTTGCTTTCGAACTGCTCGGTTGGCAGGAGCTGGAACTAGAGATGGGAGCTCACTCCATCATGCGGCACCCGGGTCTCGAACTGCTGAACTACTGACCTTCCACAGCCTGTTCAGCGTCTTAACCACTTGAGCCACCGCAGCTCCAAAGTTATGGTATTAACCTTCAAAGCCCTATGCAACCTAGAAACAACGTATCTGCAGGACCATCTCTCCCCCCCATGTGCCCTGAAGAGATTTGTGCTCTGCTGAGCAGCATCTGCTGGTAGTCTCTAGCCCAAAAGATGTCCACCTAGCCTCGACCAGGGCATTTTCTGTCCGGGTGGAACATGCTCCCTCAAGATCAGGACCCTGAGGGATTTAATGCAATTCCGCAGGGTCTATAAAATAGAGCTGTTCTGCCAGGCCTTTGGTTGAGGTGGTGGACGCCTGAAGACTTTGGTCTCCCCTGCCTACACTGCCTGGGTGCAGTGCAATATGGCATCCATTAAATGGGTCCTTGTTTTAGTCATCATATGTCCTGCACTTGTGGGAGGCATTTGTGGATGCCAGAAATTGAATCTTTTGCTATCTGCTGGTTTTAACAATTTTAATCTCTGTATGAACTGTATTTATTATTATACTGTATCTTAACTGTTGTGACCCACCCTCAGCCTGCTTGCAGGGAGGGCAGAATATAAATCCAATGACAGATAAATAAATTTTTAAAACTGCATCATGTCAGTTTTAGTGCAACGTCTGGTAAGGCTGCAGTTCTATACATTTTTACTTGGGAGTAAACTGCATTGAAGACAGCAGGGTTTATAGTATTGAGCTTATTTTTATGTTAAAAGTTTTTAAGGATTTCAGTCTCAGTCGAACAGAGCAATCCTATGTAGATTTACTCCATCTAAGCCCACTGATTTCAATGAGCTTAAATTGGAGGATGTACGCATAGGGTAGCACAGTAAATACATTTCAATCAATCGCTAGCCTGCTGTTAAGAAAATGTTACTTTGCAAGTAAGATTTTATTGGCATTTCAAAATGAAAGCTCACATCAGAAGAGGGAAAGTGTTTGCAAGAATAGCAAAAGATCTACACAGCCACCTGCATGAGCCAACTCCAATTCAAAGTAGCTTGTAAGCAGATGCCATTCCACTGAGGTCACCAGTACTGCACCTGCTCACATCATCAGGTGTGAATTTGGGTCACAGTGCTAAGCTATAAAGTAAAATTTATGTGCTTTTAGAACTCTCTGAACTGCTGATTAAATTATTACTTGCACCAACTTGGCATGTCTCCTTATAAGCATCAGCTCAGAATGATACATCATCACACACGGGAGCTACTCCCTGCCCCTCCCCAAAGCAGATGCTTTCTTCTTTTAAGTGATAAATATCCCAATTCCATCAGGATCAGCTATATGAACCTGCAACATTCACAGATGGCTCTACATCTGAAATAGTCACAGGATTGTCCCAAAAGAAGCTGGTTGGATATATTTGGGGCAGTCGATTTGTCAACCTAACCTACCTTCATAGGGTTGTTGTGAGGATAAGATGGAGGGCAGACAATCCACCCACACAACCCTGAGCTCCGTGGAGCCAGGGCAGGACCAAAACAATACAGTATTGAATAGACAGCCCACACAGGCAGATTATAGTTGCCCAATTATACATCAGTGTCAACAACTTGCCAGCTTAATCCATAATCGTAAACACACGAATGTGTAATTAGCCTTCCTGATTTCAATTTAACTTTTCCCCCAAGTAACTGCAGTCATCAGAGGAATCTGGTAAATAATGGTATGAACATGCTAATTGCATGCAATTAAGGCATTATCAGTTAATAGAAAAATAAATTAGTTAGAAGTGAACGTTTAATCATCATACCATTCATCTACACAATCATATCGATGTATGATGGTTTGATGCACAATCAGCTCTGGCTACTTGCAGGCATATGCTTATGTAAATGTGCACAGAGGGACATTACAGCTACCCATCCAGAAAAAATAATAAAATTCTACAACTAACCCAGGAATTTTTGTGGGCTGTACCTATGATTGCCCTATCTATACTTTACATTGCCCACACAAATGCATATGTGGGGCCAGTAGGCACTACTGACAGCACTGAACAAAATATCCTGTATGAACTAGGCTTGTATTGCAACCTAGTAAAGAGATGAGTCCCATTACTATCTTAATATGATATGGCATTGGCTAAATCATCCTACTTCCCTTTCTCCTCTGAAAAAACATTTAACTCATTCTGTTGACGTCTACAGATGAGACAGGCTGTAAACATAAAGTATCCATCTGTAAGTTCAGGTATGGTTCCTCACCTGTATAAGCCATGCATGCAGTTAAGAAGGGAGATGCTTCCATGTGCTCACAAATGCAGTAGGAATGAGTGAGTAGGGCACTGTGGTTATGCTGTTCCATACATCGAGCGTAGGGTCATAGCAATCTAACGTTTTGCATCTCTGGATGCCAAAATACCCTCCAACGACGTACAGCTTGTTCCCAGATGCTACTGCATGGCAGCTCATTCTCTTAGCTGTCACATCTCCCACTTTAGTCCACTGGTAAGTTTCACTGTTGAATTTATAAGCTGAGCATGCAGAAAATTCAGTATCTCCACCCATAATAAAAATCTGGTTACCCAGGACTGCTGCAGCTGTGTATCGCCATGGCTGGGGGCAAGTGGCTGGTACTGTCCACCTGTTTTCACACAGGTCATAACACTGAACTTTGGGTAGCTTATCATGGCTGACACTAGTACCGCCGAAAGCAAATAGCTTCAGCTTTGCACTGACTACAGCTGCATTGCTGACTCCTTCCCGAAGTGGAGCGACCATTGTCCATTTGTTGGTCACAGGGTCGTACTGTTCTACTTGTTTTAAGGATACTGAAGGAGATGCTGGAAGACAGCCAGTGGCTGCTGTGTGCCCTCCCACAACATATAGACAGTGTTTGAGTTCAGCAGAACCATGACCAAATCGAGCCACCAGCATGGGAGCTGCCTTGGACCACTCTTCATGAAGTGTATCATACACCCAAACATCTTTTGAGACACCATTTTCAGATCCCCGGCCACCAGTGATGTAGACCTTACAGCCAATAGCACATGCGCTGAACTCTTTCCTTGGGCTTGGGATGTCTGCTTTTGGAATGATCTCCTTTGCTTTTTGGTCCACCAGGTACAGCTTGTCACACATAAAGGTCTGTCCTCCCAGAAGAAATAGGGCATGGCCGGTTTTCCGAGGTCTTGCACACAAGCTGGTGACTACGCCATCATTCTGTAAAATCTTCAACTTGCACCTTATTGCTTCTTCTACAGTCTCTTTACTTTTCCTCTGCTTGGTGATAAGCTCCTCAGTAGCTACATTCTCCATTAGATAGATGGCTGGCAAAAGAGCCAGCCTCACAGTCTGCAGCAGATCAGGCAAATGACAGTGCCGTTTACTGAGATCATAGTTAACCCAGTTCATGGCGGACTCATAGACCAGTCGTTCATCTTCGGTCTCTAATTCTTCACTTGACAGAAGCTGCACAACCATGTCTTTGGGGAGCTGAAGAAAATCGTCACTTTTGCTAATCGCCTGGAAGTTGCTAAGGCACATCCTCCAAGAGAGCTCATAAAGTTTGGTACACTGGTGAGCATCTGACAGAAGCAGCATGCCGAGGCAATTTGTGGGATGAAGGTTCTTCTCCAAGAATTCTGCACAGGCATCCCGGATGTCTTGGAATTCCAACATGTCACCAGCCTCTAAAAGGGACTCTGCATTCTCTTCATTGATGATGACCCTTGAGGAGTAAGCATAGTCCAGGAGCAGTTCTAGAACCTCTGGGTGGATGGAATTATGGAAATTGACTTCACTGGCTTGGCTTTCTTTGAGCCCTCCACTGAACATTGCTTCAAAATACCGACTGCAAGCTGCTAGGACAGCTCTGTGGCAAGGGAATGACTTGTTTCCAGCATGAAGAAGCACATCTGTAAAAAGACGCTGCTGGCGTAGAAGGTTTAGATGAGTAAGGACACTATCAGCATATGAAGATTTGTGGAATAAATATATATTTATGGAGCCAGTGCTGGCTCTGGATTTGCGATTCTCATGCATGCTGACTGACATTTTCTTCCGCACCTAAATAAACAAACAAATAAATAAAGTTAAGGCATCTTGGGAGAACAAAACAGCCTTTTTTTAAAAAAATGCTTCCCCCCCCACCCATTTCCAAAGTATGTATGCTGAGCAGTGCTGAACAACAGCTGAGGGCAAAGAACTTGGTGCATATTTGTTATATGCATCTTCCTAATGGATTTCCTGAGTGGCACATTCTAAAAAGTTATTGCTCAAGACAAGTTCATCTTGGCAAACCAGATCTCCTGCTTTCATGACAGTATAAAGTGGCAGTGTAAGTCAGGATGGGGGGGGGGGAATAAAAGAGATAGGCTGCTCTGTTTTTTTCTCACACCCAAATGTAGAACAGCTGATTCACAAATATGCACATATACACATACTTAAAGCATACTTTTGTTTTGAATCACAGCAGCAGAAGCAGCAAGACACTACTTCAGGAATGTAAAAATACCGCATGGAACACAAGCATCTTCAAATTAAACTCATTAAAGTTATATTGAACTCATTAAAGTGGTACTCTGATAAGACAGTCCCACATAGCCAAGGAAGAAAGAGATTGCACTCCTCTTTCTTTTAACTATAATCACCCAGATGTTATGGGTGGATGCTAACTCACAGTGACACCTTTTCTCTACAGCAGCCCAAATTTGCAAACAGTGTGATTTGACCAACATGATGGAAGAAAATAGGGCTCTGGTTTTATTTGTTTTAAGAGAAAAAGAACTCGTTACTCAAGAGGAGAACAATATCTCAAGAAAAATCTAGTTAGTTTCAGAAAGTATATTGTTCATACTTAGGGATGCCAGCCTCCAGGTGAGGCCTGGGGATCTCCCAGAATCTCCTAATTTCCAGACTACAGAAATCAGTTCCCCTGAAGAAAATGGATACTCTGGATGGATACTCTCTGGCAATGTACCCCACTGAGGTCCCTGTCCTCCCCAGGCCCCGCCCCCAGATCGTCAGGCGCTTCCCAACCTGGAGCTGGTAACCTTACGGTGTATCACCCACCCACCACTGTCCAGGTCAAACCTGTTACCCCTAACTGGGAAGGGGAACCTCAGGAATATCTCTGCCAGTACCCTGTAATCTGGGCTGAGCTTCTGTTTCTCTTCATGTTACAGGTACTGAATCCTGAGTGTGGGTAAAGGTGTGAGGCAAAGCGCTCTTGGGTCTTAGCCCGTAGGTGCCCTGAGCGATTTGGGCTGAAGGAATCCAGTTACTAGTCTAGGATGTTATGTTTTATGCTAAGCATTATGTTTAACTGTATTTTTTTGTATTTGTACACTGCTTTGGTTCCCCATTGGGGAGAAAAGCAGGGCAACAATACATGCATAATAGTTTTCTTTTATTTTTTAACAAATAGTTTTACTTTATGTACACTACCAAAGTGCTGTAAGATCCGTTAACATGATCAGAGTTGTGGCAACAATACTCTACAGGACAGGCGCCTTAACAAAAGGGAGTTTTGCAGTCTGACAAGATTTCCTAGTTTATATTGGGTACTAGAAATAATGCCCGTTGCGGAAATAAATACAACGGGATCTAGAAAGAGGCTCTGGGAGAGTGCTCTGGCTTTGGGCAAACAGTGTCAGTTTCCTGTGGCGACCTCAGCAGGGTTTTATGACAGAATCCACTGTTTTCTCCAGAGGGACTGATCTCTGCTACCTGAAGAGCATTTGTATGTTTGAGTTATCCGTAGCCCTCACCTGGAGAGTGGTAACCATTGTTACCCATTCTCCTCTTCCCTATGAGGTATGTTATGCAACTGAAAATTCCTACTGCCTTGCAGGGGGGGGGGGGAGTTTGAGGTGTGGAATGGACTGAAGTCCAATCAGCTTCCATATGCAAAAGACCAGGTTGTCGCAGCAGTTGTGGTGTGGGTGGGACCCGGGCTTTGCCTTCTGATTGGTGGCGATATATGCTGAGGAGCAGTGCCATCAGCCATACACTAAGGGAGTGCATTTTAGAATTAGAACTTTGGCACCCACTATTCAATTATATATAAGGAGAGATTATGACTTATTTAGGAACATGAGGATGGGAGAGTTGGGGAGGGTCTAGTCTAGAAGAAGGCATTTGTTAGGATAGGAAGCGGCTGAGTAGAAGATGAGGGCACTACCACAATAATACAGCTGACCACAACAGAAAGCTCTCTTGCTCAGACCGGAGTTTCAAGCCCTGTGGGGGTGAGGTCTGCCTGCTGTACAGGCCAAACCAGGTTTAAATGAGGTTTCATAGAAACCATTTCAGCCCAGAGGTAAAGCCTACATCTCTACGGCATAGGCCAAACACAGGAATAAAGGCAGTTTGAAAGACAGGAAAAATGCAATTTGTCATGACCTCCATGAAACTTTCCCACAAGATTAAACCTGTCATCTAGCCAGAAAGAGTCAACAGAACCTGAAGAGAGAGAGAGAGAAGCTGAGGTATTCTTTAATCTGCTACTGGGTGATGAGTCAGATCTACCTCAGAGGACTTGGCCAAGCTCTATAAATATGGGAGCTCAGGGTGAACAGACCTGCTGTAAAACACAAGCTGACCACAGGGCTTGGCTACAGACCAGATGCCTCAGTTTGCCTTGGAGAAAAGAGGAGCAGCAACTACAGGTAGTAAAGGGTGGGAATTAACCCAGCTGCCAACCCTCCTCCCTCATTGTTGCTATAAGGTTACTTATTTTCAATGCCTGTAACACCTATTTAATATCGCTTTCTACACATGCTCTGTAACTCTCAAGGAAACCAGGCTGGCTGTTGTTGTATAACAAGGAACATACCTCAAACTCTACTAGATGCCAGTCATCCTTAATAGTAAAATACCATTTTATTAATTGGATTTTGGTATTTAGTGTAGTAACCATAATGCTGTGTGAACAGCTTCATGACAGCTTCATAAAGATCACTGCCATGTGTTACATTTTGCAAAGCAGTCCCATCATCTGGACAATGCAATTTGGGCACAACATGTCACATTTCTGCATTAACATAGCACAGTACAGGTAATTAAGAATGCTGTTGCCCAGAAAAGAAAGACCAACTAAGTCTCACCTACGTGATACATATCTCTCAGAGAGTACAGTATGACTGTTAGAATCCACTTCATCTAATCAAGTTATCTGACAAATAATCAACATTAATTTGACATTCAAGAGCCCCAGAAGCTAATCCTGGATTAAATTTACATTATTGCCCTCAGTGAACCCCCTGCTGCACTTAGGGAGAAAAGCTAAATTATATTATTTCCTCATCAGTTACATTCATCAGGTAAAACCTTGCAGCTAGACCTTGATACATACCGTGGTTTTTGTATCACCATTCAAGGTCAACATTTTTCCTGCCAGGTCTTAATTTACTGTTGCCAAACAGTGATGCCCCCAAGATCTTCCAGCCTCTAAACTCAGTGGGAATCAAGGAACTAGAAGGAAGTCCATTCTCATTTTACCCCACTGCTGCAAATAAAGCTACCTTGTGCCATCCAAAGCACTGCTATGTCATGAGCACAGTGAAAGAAAATCATGTCTGAGTTACAGCTAACAAGGGGAACTTTATATAACAGTATCCCAAAACCCAACTTAACCAAGTAAGAAGTCTCTCAAATATGAAATTATAATGATTTTCTCCTTGAGCCCTGCAGAAGTAGAATCTTCATATTTCTATGCTGATAAGAGAGGTCCTGTCACTTAATATAGATCACACCTTCCAGGAATTAGTATTTGGGCAGAAAGAAAGCCTGAAACTTAACACACATTCATAGCTAATCAATTTTTTTTTAAAATTTAAGGTTTCCAACTAAAGTCAGTCCAGTTTCATGCACTACTTACAAACCAAAAGTCCCACAGATCTTAACATCATCACACAGGAAATAGCCCTTATCATATGAACAACAGCCTAAAAAATAACCTAATAAAGCATCCTTTTTATTTGAGATTAGCAATGAGTGACCACTTGTGTGGGGGGGACCTAGGAATGAGCACACTGATTTGGAAACCCCCCCACCCAATTAAGAACCCCAATTACTAAAACTATACTGGAAAGGCAATTCTATTAAGTCTCTTTTTCTGCACATGAAAGCATCCCCTAGTCTAGGTACAGAATTTCAGCAAGCTGATAAGTTTGCTCCCTGTTAAGCTTTTGAAAAACCTTGGCTAAAGCTTTCTGTCTTCCATAAGAAAATTGCAACTTCAGAAGAATTCAGGGCAGAGTAAACAAAACTGGACAAAAGTACACACACACACATCTTATATTTATCTCTCATTAACTCTCCAACCAAGAAAATATACCCTGATAAAAAGATAATTTTAAAAAATAAAATAACACCTTATTGAGCATGTCTGTGCCAACACACTTTCCACCCACATAGTTAAGAACAGACCCTCCCCCCAATTATCAAAAAAAGAACACGGGTAATATGGTTTCAAATAATTTGAATGTACTGGCTGATTTCCATGCAGCTCCATCTCAGAGGGAGCCCTCTGTACTCAACACACCCATTTGTACGAACCTCTGATTACCTGGACATGTTGGGTGCCCAACCAGCTTCTAAATAAGTAGGGCAGTTCTGCATTCCAAGCAGTCTCCTGAAACATTTTGTTCCTCCACTTGTTGTGCAAATTATGCAAACCTCAAATGTTTTAGTAAAGGTAATCTACAAAGGCATTAGACAAACTTTAAAGAAAAAAGGATGCGTTCAGGCATATTTCCCTATAAGAATGTATAGAAATGAAGGGGTTGGTAGGCTCAACACAGCTTACTAAAGACATACAGCTTGAACTAAAACATTGCACCACTGGGAATTCAATAGGCAGCATATCAAATGGCTCACGCATGCTCTTCTGTTCTGAGCTGGTTTAAGGAACAGCATAAGAAGTGCCAAGTAGTGACAAGCAATGCTCCCTCTAAGCTGTGGAGTCTTGTGAGCAAAAATTCTACTTTGTGAGATACTGGCATTAAAGCTGTGAGCAAGCAATTCGGGTACTGCCTAAATTAGTTTGCTCTGGAGCCATCCTTCCTGAATTAATACAAAAATGTGAGCCAGAGGCTAAAAAAACTGAGCTAGCTCACACTAACTTCAGCTTAGAGGGAACACTGGTGACAAGCTGATCAGAACCCACATACTGCTTCCAACAGCCTTCTACATGTTGTAAGTTCACAAGCCAGGTATTATGGTGAATATCCACCACCAAGGATATTCACAGGGGTGTACTGCCTCTGAACTTGGAATTCCCCTTAGTTATCGCAAGACAGTATGCTGGACAAGTCAATGAAATTATTTCATTTTGTTGCACAGTTATAGAGAGAAAACAAACAAGTTCTTGTTATCTTATTTTTCTCCTGACTACTCAGTAAGTCTTCCTAAAGTTACACTGGAATATATATAAAAACACAGTCAGTTTTTGATCTTTAGGGATTTGAAAACCTTGTTCTGACATGATGCCTTGATTTACTAACTTTGTGTTCTTTGCATGCAGCAACGGTACCCTGCCAAACCTGTAAGGAAGATTTTTGCCTTAAGGTTCATTGGTTTTACCCCTAAATCCTATGCATAGTCCTGTTTATGACTTCAAAAGACTTACTTGAGGGATAGACTTGTTACTAAGCAAATATTGATACATTTCTTCATTCCTTATCACATGTACCCTCTATATGGGTTGCCAAAGATTCCACTCTGTTGTTTATTTAACTAGTTTTGGTTTACAGAGACCTGTGATACCTCAAAGCCACTTAGCTCAACACCAATCACTATTCTGCCTTCTTCTCAGGTGCGCAATGAACACAGGGGTGCAGAAACTGTTTCTAATACAATTTCACTTATGTTTACTTGGAAGTAAATCCAGATTTCAATGGGGCTTACTCTCAAGTCAGCATGCATAGCATTGCTGCCTGAATCCACTCTCTTGATCCAGCACAGAACCTAATGTTTGGATAATCCTTTGCATAGCCTTTTAAATATGCAGAGGGCAGGCTGATAAAACACACCTTGTTTAAAAAAGCTCTTCCACAGTGAGTGACCAAAACCCCAAAGTGCTAGGAGCAAACTACTCGGGTTGCCAGATATTTGGTATTTCAGAACATCACAGAAAGGCTTAAAATCCAAATTTCTATCCACGGGTGCCACAATCTCTTATTTTTGAAACCTTCATCTAGTAATATAGGCAACACATCCTCCAAACTCTCCAGGGAGTGATTGGCTTGGGAGTTGGGGGAGGGGTGGAGTTTTGTTTCGTGTTCCGATTGATTTATTTTGCAGTTCCGCAGATCACAATGCTATGTGATCTATTACGCCTGAAAACTAAACACGCGCAGGTCGGGAGTCGGGACCTTCTCTTATCGACAATTTGCACGTTCCGCAGCCGCCTGCAAAGGCAACAAAGCATGTGCGCCCCCACCAAAATACAAAAGCTCTGTCAACGGCTGCACCGCGCTTCCCTTTGCTTTGAAATGAAACACCGGGGCCATCCCGGGGAACGCAGAGAGAGGGAGGAAGGAAGCATGCGGCACACCCTCTGACCCTCCCTCTTCCTGTGGGACGGGAAAGGAAGAAACGTGCCCTGCCTGGAGGGTGCAGCGACCCATCTCCGCTGCTCGGCGCTGCACAAACAGTCGCCGCCGGCGCCGCCTCCGGAGGAAACCCCAGGTGCACTGCACACACATTGCTACCTTCGTTTCAAGATAAGAACTGCAAGATCTCATTCAAGCCTGGAAGCTAAACTTCCTGAAGAAACAGCCCCTTGTCGCCCCAATTTCCTCACGGCGGAGAAGGGTCGTGAGGCGGAACTTTGCACATGCTCAAATGCAGTCCCTTCTTAAAAGTGTTGCATTCCTTGTAGGGCTTAGCCCTGGCACGGAAAACAGGTTTCAGGGCGAAATCTACTATCCCGTGCCCCCGCCACTGGTGGGGGAAAGTCCTATGGAACTCAGTGGTTCTTGTTTCTCAGTAAATCTGCATACAATCTGACTCAACCCTGACTGCAGGGGTTACTGTTACTTTTTCTTTAAAGCTATTGTTCTGCCAATAAAGGTAATTGGAATTGGACTACAGGGGCAAAATACACACACCCTTGTCAACAGCGACGGCTCCCCGCTCCCGGGAGATGCAGCAATGCCGCTCGGCAAACCGTCCAGCCCCCTTAATGCTGCACGAAGTAAACTTACAGCCGGTGGTTCCTCCGGGCGCTCAGGTCCTGCCTCCCCGGACCATGCAGCTCACGGCATGGAAGCGCAGGGGAGAGAAAGAGAGACGAGGGGGGTCCCCTTTCCCGCACACGTTTCGCGGCGGCGCTTCCTCTCGGTGTCCTCCGGCGGCTGCCCTCAATTTCCGAGGCAAGAGAAACCGCGTGGGGAAACTGTGCCGCGCGCCCTTGCCCGGGCAACTGCCCCGGCGCGTTTGCAGAAAGTGCAGGCGGCGTCAGAGCAAGAGGAGATGGGGCCGCAGCGTGCCGCCCGCCTCTCCTCCTCTGGCCTCGGCTGGCGCGGGGAAGAGTGTATATGGATTGCTGGCGGGGAGGGTCACATATGCAAAGAGGGAGGGACGCGCAGGGGGCGGGAGAGGCGGAGGCTTGGCTGTGCTCGGGAGGCAGAGCCGCCGAGAAGCTCCTGGCGACGTAGCCAGGCAGGGCGTCACATGGGTTGCGTGGAAGAAGGGAGGAAAAGAAGTTCGGGCAGGAGCCAAGACGTGAGGCCACAGCGGTCACATGTGCGCGTTTCATACTAGGCTTGCCGCTGCAGTACGTTTCAGGGGCCCTCTGGAACTGCGTGCGTGCCTGTCTTTTCGTGGGTTTATGGAGCTGTTCTGTAGAGATATGTAATAGGGTCCAGGAGATGTAGCGCCGGAATGGGGTACAAATTAACCGCGAAGTTTCATAGTGACCATGCGACCTTGGACCCCTCTGAGCCTTTCCTACTTCACAGGGTGGTAGTATGGATGACATGGAGCAGGGGAGAGCGCTTTATGGTTCCCTGTGCACATTGGATCAAGAGTATGATGAAAGAGCAACAGTAGCATAGCACACGCACCAATTTTACACTACAAGTACATAACAGAGGTCAGGTGTGTAAACAAGAGTAAATCAAATGTGTGGGACACTTCTCATGTCTGTGGTACAGTGAGAGGCCGTGCAACAGCTGGTAATTTTAAAGGATGTTTCCAGATTTTCCCACAACATTTAAATGTTTTGGTTGTCAGCCATCAATTTTCCTTCTCTCCTGTGTTTTGGAGTTCTGCGAGTTTCGAAAGCCATTAACAAAGCTGCAGGATTCTATTGCTAGCTCAACCAGATTGTATGTAACCAGGTGAATAAGGAGCATAGTTTGCACGTAAGCAGATACAAGGGTCCTTAGGCATATTTGGGGTGTGAAGGATATTATAAGTTGCACTCACAATACCTTGGACTCCTGCCCTACATGTGAACAGGGGAGTTGGGCCAATTCTGGCCTGCTTCCCAGTTTGTACAGCACTGGGAAACTATTTGCAGGAACTGTGGCAGATCATGCAATTTGCTTGTAGAATGCAAATGGTCCCCATATTATTTCTTAAGATTCTTGATGTATGCTACAGCAACACAGAGAAAGTACAAATCATTGCATTGGAAATCCTGCTTCAGAAATTTCAGTGCACACATGAGGAAGTGCATCAAACATTTATTTGTTTACTTCATGTATACCCCACTCCCACCCCCAATAGGGACCCAAAGTGGTTTACAACCCTCTCCCTCCATTTTATTCTCACATTGATACAGTGTTGGATATCACTATAAACTAGCACACACTAGCACCATGTTTCTTGTCCCTCAACACACTGAACATTCTTGTAGAGGGAACAGAGCTGTGATATAATGGATCAGCTCAGGAGGTGACCTCTATTAGAGATAATGTGTTTCCCCCCTTCTACTTCTTTAATCCCAGCCCCACTGCATTGTTGTTTTCTGTTAGACTTAAATATAACCATTCAGATTATCAATATATCTAATTCTCAACATGTCCAAATATGTGGACACTTAAACCTAAACCTAAGACAGATCTTCCTACAAACCTGAAAAAGCCCCAGGTTTGTAGAAAAATCTGAAATCTAGGGAAAAAATAGAGAAGCTACCCCCCCCCCCAAGAAATAGAGCCCATATGCTTTTAAGAAATGACTGCCCTTTGTAGTGGCCATTGTGGGGGTTGCTAGGCAACCACTGCAGTATTGCCAGCATTCAAGTCTTGGTTTCTGTCAATAAAAGGTAGGGAAGGGGGAGGATCCTTTCCAGAGTTGTTTTAGCTTTTGAGGAAGGACTCATTGGGGCCAGGCCTGGCAGCAATTGCCAAGCAACTTGATATAATCCAATGTGCATGATTTACCAAGGACTGGATGCTTGTTATTTTTCAACAGCAGCCATCCCATGAACAGCAGTGCAGTATAGTGGTTAAAGTTTCAGACTAGAATCTGAGAGACCCAAGTTTGTATCCCAATTCTTCCAAGAAGCTCACTGGGTAACTTTGGACCAGTCACACATTTTCAGACTAACCTACCTTACAGGGTTGTTGTGAGAATAGAGGACAGGAGGAACCAGGTGAGCTGCTTTGAGTTCCCATTGTGGAGAGTGGCATGGTATAAATGAAGTAAATAAATAATAAATATATAGGTGGGCAGATAAAAGGATTGATAGATGGAAAAGAAAAGAAAGCAAGGAAAGGTAAGAATGTGGGGGTTGCTAGGCGGATGAAAAGAGGAAATAATGTGAGAAGGGGGATACAGAGGTAAGTGAGGTGCCCTCTGCAAGTCATTGCCCCGCCTGGTAGCTAGCAGCACACAACTTGGACATAGTGTTCCCATATAAAGGCTATTAAAGGGAGGGAAGGGGAGAAGCTGAAGACAGGGGGGACAGATAAAGGTAGGTTGGCTGGCAGGTGGGAAGGAGAGAAATAAGCAGGAAAGGGGGGAAGCTATGGGGAAAGGGAAAGAAAAAATCTTGGGAGAAGTAGTGCCAGCAAGTCCTTGTAAGTTCCCTGCTTTTTGTTGTTGTATTTTGTAATTGGCTTACTAATTAACGGAATAGTTCTGCTGTATTTATAATCTACCTTGAGTCCCAATGAAAAAGGTGGACTATAAATGAAAAATACATAAATAAATGACAACCAGCTGACTGCACCCCCACAACTAGTCCATCAGGTTTATATCTTTTCCCAATGCCCCACACATTCTTCTACTGGTCTCCAGTGATCTGAGAAGCTATTGACTACACTGAGATCAAAGCAAATTATTACCATTTCTCCCATACCAGTGTTGCAAATTCATGTCCTGGATTTTGACTGCGGGGACCTGGATCGAAATCCTTGCTTGGGTATAAAAATGTAATAATATAAGAAGTGCCCCTCCAGATCAGAAAAAGGTCCATCTATCTATATATCTAATACCGAAGTCGCCCCCTGCATGCGGATACTTATTTCCTCACATCGGGGGCACCTGGGGGGGGAGGGAGATGTTTGTGCACACTTGGGGCAGTCCCCAGGTGTGCACAAAAATCTGAAACCTGTAAAAAAATATCAGGGGGATACTTAAATCCCCCCAAATGTGACAGAGCGTCCATCACCGCTTTGGAGCCAGGCGGGGGGGCAGCGAGGCCTGGGTGGCTGGAAGCCACCAGGCCTCGCTTCGGGGTAGAGGGGGGGTGGAGGAGACGGGGGGAACTGGTGGGATGGGGGGAACTTACCTCCTCCTGCTGCTTCCTCCTCTTCCTCATAGGTGTGGAGCTCCCTCTCCCCCCGCAAGTATCACGGGTCCCGCCCCTTGTACATCCTATTTCCCACAGTGGCCACCAGATACCACTGGGAGACACAGAGGCCAATGCCTCTCCCTGTTGTTGTCTCCCACCAGAACATTGTCTCTGGAGGTGGTAATTATGGCTAATAGCCATGGATGGACTAACCATCCATGGCTTTGCTCTGTAACCTAGTGGCCATCTCTACAGTTTGCGGCAGTGTATGTTCTGAATCTGTTGCCCATCAATTTCACTGGATTCCCCCAAGGGAGGTAGAAAATGTTATTTCTATTTACTTTCTCCAGTTAATTTTATCGGGTCATTTCGTAGAAAAAGAGGTGCAGGAGCTCATTAGCGTAACTCATTAACATAACTTATTTGCATATGTCACACCCCCTGACATCGCTGGAAGTGTGTGCTCCTGCGTGCTCCTGCAGGAAATGACCCCTGGCTCTAGTGCTATCTAACTCTAGCTGTCACTATTTTATGGAATAGTCTTCTCAAAGAAAGGTTTTGGTTTTCTTGGTTTGGCATGTAAGTTAAGATTTTTTTAGCTCCAGTATACATCACTTGACAGCGGGAGTGGAATGGTATGGTATAACCTGATCTTGTCAGATTTTAGGAGTTAAAAAGGGTCTGTACTTGGAAGGGAGACCACCAAGGAAGACTCTGCAGAGGAAGGCAATGGCAAATCACCTTTTCACTTGCCTTGAAAGCCCCTTGCTGGGGTCACCGTATGTCAATTATGACTTGACACATATATATACATCACTTTACACTTATTCATTTTGCCATGTGGCTCTCGACTTACTTCATTTGGAGATCCTAGGTAACCGAGGGCTGTCATTCTTTCGTAGCCTAGCCTACCTCATAGGGTTGTTGTAAGGAAAAATGGGAATCACCCCGTCCTCATATGCTATGAGCTTCTTGGAGGAACAGTGGGATATCACTGCAATGAATTAAAGAATAAATTAATTTCCTTGTCAGCACCTCAGTGTCCGGTTGACTAAGAACTACCATTATTAATAAGCAAAGCAGAAAGGTGAGAGAGAATAAAGTAAACACCAGACCCCCAAGAGACAGCATGTGCCCTGCTACCAGCTTTTAAAAACAACATGGTTATGAAGGCCAAGGATCCTGAAAGGCAGCATGAAGACAAACTTCTTTGGTATAATTATTACTAATGGGTCACATCTTACAAATTATTATACATGTACAGGCTTCTAAAAGGAGGCCAGATGGAGTATGTGTTGGGGGGAGGGAATGCTCATATTTAGGACAGCAATTGGGAACAATATACTGAAAGTCTATGTGCCTAATGCTGCTTTGTGTTAGGACGGGGGAGCTTGTATGCTGCCAAAGAAGGGGAAAGCAGAATGGGAATAAAAAACTGCAGAGACTACCTAGTTAATTTTCAAACTATAGTTTTGTTGCCTGGGTATGCTTATAAAGTTTGATAAAGAACAAAGCATACCAGCATGAGTCATTCCATTTGCAACGATAGGATGCTGCTGGTTTCAATATAAACATATCCTATCTTTGGGAAGCATCCAGTGCTGCGGAGCAGAAATGCTGCTCAGTTGTTTCCCAAACTCTGTACTCCACTTGCCAGTTTCACTGCAGCCAAGGCATTTCTCCATTCCTCCCCCACCCAAGTGCCTCCCAGCCAATGGCTGGCAATGCTTGATTCAAAGCAAAACGGCTC